CTGAACCAGGACCTGATGGCTCTATGAACCCACATCTGAACCAGGATCGGCCCTCTTCTCTGCTGCCTCTTCCTTGGCCGACACGGCTGCCTATTTGTTTTGACGGGTTGGTTGGTTGTTAGTTTAGTTTGTGTTCTTTAAATAAACGTCTACTTATTGCTTTCATCACTCGTCTTGTCTCTCTTATGTTGCAGCCTTGGAGCCGGGTTGTAACAGTCACCATGATTAACTGAGGCATGACTCCCTCGTCATTTTGTATCCAAAATGATTGCAACCTTATTGTGTACAAATATATATATGTTTATTTACTTATTCATTTATTCACAAATGTATTTATAATTAAATGCATTTATCTATATACTTTAATTTAGCCAGAGGGTAACTTGGCTGTAGCTAAATAAATAAATCTGCTAACTTCCAACTTCCTGCTAGCATAAAGCCGAGATTATGCTAGCAGGAAGCCAACGTTATGCTAGCAGGAAGCCAACGTTATGCTAGCATAATCTCGGCTTTATGCTAGCAGGAAGCCAACGTTATGCTAGCTGGAAGCCAATGTTATGCTAGCATAATGTCGGCTTTATGCTAGCAGGAAGCCAACGTTATGCTAGCAGGATGAAAGTCAGTAAAAAACACTGAAAATAAGGTGGAGTTCAGGTGTGGTACAGGTGTAGTTCAGGGGTAGTACAGGTGGAGTACAGGTGGAGTACAGGTGGAGTTTAGGTGGAGTTCAGGGGTAGTACAGGTGGAGTACGGGGGAGTACAGGGGGAGTTCAGGTGGAGTACAGGGGTAGTACAGGTGGAGTACAGGTAGAGTACAGGGGTAGTACAGGTGGAGTTCAGGTAGAGTACCGGTGGAGTTCAGGTGGAGTACAGGGGTAGTACAGGTGGAGTACAGGTGGAGTTCAGGGGTAGTACAGGTGGAGTACAGGTGGAGTACAGGTGGAGTAGTCTTACCTTGAGGATCTCAAACAGGTGCAGACAGTGGTAAACAGGAGTGAGCAGCAGTCTGGGCAGAACGTACTGAACAGCCTCTTTAAAACCTTCACAGATGGACTGAAGACAGACAACACTTTTACTGCATCATCATCATCATCATTTACCTGGAGAAGGAGCCTACAGGTCTTATGTCAGAGACCAGGGACAGGGTTTACCTGGAGAAGGAGCCTACAGGTCTTATGTCAGAGACCAGGGACAGGGTTTACCTGGAGGTGGAAGGCTGCTCCTGGTTTGGACACTTGACTCAGGAAGTGTTCATGGAAACCAGAGCGCAGGGTGTCCTGAGCGTACGTCTCATAGGGGTCAAAAGCCAACTCCTATCGATCAATCAGACAGAATCAGAGCTGATCATCGTTGAATGATCTAATGATG